ATTGCGGATATGATCTTGAAATCCTTTTGTTCTCTAGTGCTTAATCTTTCGAAGTTAGAAACCTGATCAGCCCTCTGCCATCGGCTTATGTACCTTCATCTCATAAGGGCAAGGAGGCGGAAGAACAGGTGTAAGTTATTAGGTGGGCAGGCATAGACATTTGAAGAAATCAAGTTTGTTGTACAAAAGCGCGAAGGTTATCATAGTTGCTATCGAATCCTTGTTTTTTTGATTGAGGATAAAGTTTAAAAGAAGAGGAAGCAATAATGCGAATGATAACAAATGGTATGAATGTGAAGCATCTTTCTTAAGTGTGAAACATTAACGTATTCTTCCTGTTTACGTCGTGAATAAAGCTGCATCATTTAATCTATGCTTCTTTAGTGACGTTTTATTCGTCACGCCTTCATTTCAGCGACTGGAAATGGCTTCATCATTAGCATTGTTTTCGAGGGGTTCAGGTTCGATTGAACAGATTTGCCTTTGCTGCAGTTTTATACAGTGTTTCAGTTAATGTGCCTAGTGACGGATATTGAACTATGTCCTGAACTTCTATGTTCCTACTTCAGGATTTTCTTGTATTTTCTTTTTGCGGCTATTTCGTACAGTTGGATTCGCTACCATATTGAACAGCGCTTATAATCTAGCTACTGTAAGGCGTGAGTCAGTGGATCATTTGCGAACAGCAGTTCTCTTCGATATTGTGCTACATCTGCTTCAGGCACTACGTCAATATGATAACTCTGGAGGAATTCGGAGTGACATGGTTACATAATGAGGGGCGTTCCTGGCCTAGGGCGGAAACACAGCAGGTATAAGTTCCCACGGCGTAGTATTGAAAGCACAGCGCGTGTTAGTAGACGATGCCGGATATCTTGCCCAATAAAGTGAGAGCTTAGTGGCTTTAATGGATAGCACACAGCATCCTTTGATTATGCTTCTGATCTCTCGCCGATATGAAATCTGCCTAGTCATGAGACAACTTATTCCATCATTCATATTGTCCATTACGATCTTCTTTAAATTCACAGACCTGCTGTACGAAGGTTTAAAGTACAAATGCTGGTAATAAGGGATTTGATTCAATAGTCAGATGCTTGATATAGCTGCCGATGACTCTCCATTAAATATGCAAAGCCCCAAAAGCTGCAGCTAATCGTTCTGCTTCGCACTTAACCGTACTGATACAGAAAAATGTTCTTTACAATTCAGTT